TTACATAATATTAACAAGCACTAAAACTCGTATTTTCAATGTGTAGGTTTTAGGCAGGAAACAAAAAAGAAAGCAGGAATAGCTATATGTTTTTCTTCTTGCAAATTTAAAATTATTATTTTTAACATAGTAATGTAATTTTATTAAAAGTTTTCTTAATAATAAGAAACCTGAAGGGTATATAAGGTGTATATCCCTAGATTTACAATAAGAAAACTGAGGCTTAAATATTTTCCCTGCTAGTAACTGAAAGTAGGAATTTTCCTATTTTTTTTTTTTTTTTTTTTTGGTTTTTCGAGACAGGGTTTCTCTGTGTAGCTTTGCGCCTTTCCTGGAACTCACTTGGTAGCCCAGGCTGGCCTCGAACTCACAGAGATCCTCCTGGCTCTGCCTCCCGAGTGCTGGGATTAAAGGCGTGCGCCACCACCGCCCGGCCTAATTTTCCTATTTTCTTACTTATTTTGAGACTATATATTACAAAATTTTCTTTTAAAACTTAAAACATTCTTAGTGTGTGTGTGTCTGTGTCTGTGTCTGTGTGTGTGTGTGTGTGTGTGTGAGGACATTTCATGTACCTTTGGGCTGCAGTGTGCATGTTGTCATAGGGTAACTCAGTGGAACTAGTTCATACCCTTCATCTACCCTGACAAGGATTCTGGGGACTGGATTTACATTCAGGCTTGTGCAGGAAGTGCCATTACCTGCTGAGCTTTCTTGCTAGCCCCCAAATATTCTTATAGTGACTAGTGCTACTACATAAAGAATGAAGTATTATAACCAGAATTACTATTAAATCAGAATTACCACAGTTAATGTATTTTTGGTCTCTCCAGACCAACAGGCATAGTAACATGCACTAGTGAAAATTCACATGAAAGACAGATCTATATTACATAAAAATTTGTCATTCAAAATTATCTGAAGGCTTTCGACTATTACTTATCTAAGTTTATTAGTGAATTGAACTATGATATCCAGCTGACATGTTCAAAAGAACAAATCACCCAGTTCCCATAACACTCAGATAACTTAGTCTTGGACTGAAATAAGATGCTTTACAAAAGCCAGACATGCAGCCACACAGCTCGATCACAAATCTTTCCTGAATAGGTTCATCAGAGTATTTAGCTCAACTTTCATATAACTCTACAAAGCCAAGGTCAAATAACACTTTCCAGCTTCTTTTCATGTGTGTACCTTACTATACAGAAACACACACAAGAACCTCTGGATTTCTTCCTAGAGTTCATGTAGTTTTAACCTTGGAATATCTGTTGTCTGGGAAGGCTAGCTGAGTTCTAACATATACTGAAAGATACTCAAATTCTACTTTGTTTCTATAACCTTGTATTGTAAGATGGCTTGTGGTATCATTTATAATCACAGGAAGAAGTTCCATTTGCTTAAAAATTGCATAGCAACACTTTTCTTCAAATATAAAGTGTGTTTTCTGAAATTCACTAATCTTTCAGAATAATAATTTTTCTATTATCATTCCACCAATACATGCCAATTTTAAAAGTTCAAAGTAGGTTTAGAGGATACCCAATTCCAAGGAAAAGGTAATCCATAATGTACATCGTAAGTAGGTTCCAGGAAAGGCTGCATCAAAGTACACACACAGCACACACAGTGATAATAAAAGAGGGTACTGCTGTACTGACAAAACACCCATCAACATAAAATACAGAAATAAATCTTAAAAAAAAAAAAGAAAAAACAAAATAGCCCACTTAACTATTTAAATAATACCAGCAAAGATATCTCAAAGTTACGATTCCTGTGGCTGGAGAGATGTCTCAGCAGAACTTACTGCCCTTCCAGAGAACCCCTTCTCAGTGTTTGGTTCCCAGCACCACATCAGATAGCTCACAACCACTTGTAACTTCAGCTCCAGGGCATCCAATGCCCCCTCTGCCCTCTGTGGTACCTGCACACCTGCAGGGAATATGAGCATATGCACACACACACACACACACACACACACACACACACACACATATAAACAAACTGAAAAAAGTGTTCAAGGTCATTAGAAATCAAGTAAATATGCTTTAAAATCATTTCAAAATAAAACAATTTTTAAAAACAGATCACTCTATAAAAGACTAGAAAACATGATGACATCGGCAAACAACTAAACCCACATTTTTGGAAGCTAGTTTTATCATTCAGACTTAGGACAAGTCCAATTATTTCTACATGATTTAAGGAAAATTAAAATGCTGAAAATCATCACCAATACAAATCTGTAATTATGACACAAAGACTTTAACATGGCTTGTTTTCATTTACATATACACCAAACCAGAGTCTAAAGAGTCTTCTCGTTTGTAAGGAAGTCCAGGCTTCCTCTCCCAAGTTATACTTGGTGTCTCAAAAGCAGACAGATGTTCATCACACATCTGGTGAGGTCGTATAACAGCACCAGCACAGTGGGCATCTGCTGCCCTTCTCTTCTTCTTCTAGGCCTTGAGCTACAGAGCAGGATCCACCCTACTGCCAACCCCATACCATGCTCTAGCAGATTTTGAAACATGTGGGGACCCATAATTATTAGCTAAAAAATGAATAACATACTTAAGCAAAACACCTTTCTAGTCCAACAGAAATGCTATCATATATTTAACATGGTTTTAATATAAGAAACAATCCCTTGGGAGAATTACATATAAAATAATCCTTACTAAACTTATGTTCACATCTATACTGCCAATACAGCTTATTCCCACTCTGGATTATATTTTAACTACATGAGCTAGTCATGAATAAATTCATCTTTTCCTTTACAATTTGGGCTATTATGGATGATTTAAAGTTTTAGCAACTTATTCAAATATATACTCCAGTGACTTGAATTTTTCATCAAGGGCCTGCCTTTATTTCAAGCCATTGGGAGATACAGTATAAATACTCTTTGAATTACATCTTTTAAGCAGCTATAGGGTACTGCTTTTACTGCCTACAACGATATGTTCTGCAATTGATATACTACTGTCTTGTATTGGCACATATATTCTTTAAGGCTAGATACATGATGCATATTATTTTCTTTTTTTTTTTTTTTTTTGGTTTTTCGAGACAGGGTTTCTCTGTGTAGCTTTGCGCCTTTTCCTGGAACTCACTTGGTAGCCCAGGCTGGCCTCGAACTCACAGAGATCCGCCCGGCTCTGCCTCCCGAGTGCTGGGATTAAAGGCGTGCGCCACCACCGCCCGGCGCATATTATTTTCTTAAGCAGAATTCCAATAACCACTTCACAGTCTAACAGATGAAAACACTCCATGCTTTACAAAAGCATGAGGGTGACGCTGTCTGCACAAAGCAACATGTCACTGCAAATTTACTACACACTTTAGAGGCGACTGAACAAGACTTATGATTATGCTACAATGGGAAGTTAGAATATAACACATGATTACAAAAAAAGAAAACAGATTTAAGGGTTCCAAGAAGTAATTCTGGAAACTGAACATTACATGCTTTATTGTGAAATAGTTACAAAGATTTTAATAAAGTAGACTAGCTTTCTCTGAAGCTGGTCTTTTCTCCTTTTTTTTAAAGGAAAAATCACAGTGACTAATAGAATATAGAAACCTGTATAATAGTAGTACTGTTCTGATGACCTTTAAAGGTATTAGATTTTCTATGTCTTATGGGATGGGTGGGATGGCTCAGTAGGTAAAGTGTTTATCATTAAGTATGAAGACCTAAATTAGCATCCCCTGGAGCCACATAAAGCCAGAGATGGTGGTGCTCATCTGCATTTTCAGTGTTTGTATGGTGAAATGAGAGACAGAGACAAGGAGAATCCCTGGAAGCTCCATGGCCTGCTGGCCCAAAGCACACAGTGGTGAACAACAAGAGACAATACCTCAAACAAGCTGAAGCTAAGATCTGAACTTGTCCTCTAACTTCTAATACTGCCCTCCATGTGTGCACCTCAGTCAGTGCACATGCAAATATGCACAAATCACACACACACACACACACACACACACACACACACACACACACCCCTTAAAACAAAGAGCTACAACAACAAAAGTCCAATAGGTATTTAATACCAATCAAATACAAATGTTTGCATGTGTCCTAGCACAGGTCTGAAATACTTAAATGTCTTAAAGAGTGTGCAATATAAAAAGAATGGCAGTTTCTGTGCACTTTTAATCCACTTACGTATTACAGCTATACTGTCTTATCTGGTTTTAAGTGCCCTGTAAGTTCTCATTAAGCTTACTTAAAAGCAATGATAACGGTTCTGTTTTCATCAAATTTATTTCTCAGAAAAATAATCTCCTTAAATGGAGATTTATTTTATTTGGTAACTGTCCAGGGCAAGATTTCAGGAAAACCCACAACCTCCAATCATGAAGGAGGAGGAAGGAGAGGAGAAGGAAGAGGAAAGCAAGGAGGCAGAAAGGTGGAAAAACGGGTGTGCAGAGACCGTGTAAGGGCTGAGGCAACGGCTAACTGCTGAAGTGCTGGATGCGCAAGCCTGAGCACCCGAGTCTGGATCTCCAGGACCACAGAAAAAGCCAGGCATGCCGGAACACACCTGCAGACCAAGCAGCCCCAGGTGGAGACAGAAGGATCTCTGGGGCTTGCTTAGACAACCAGTGAGCTGCAGGTTCAGTTAAGGAAACTACCTCAAAACATAAAGTGTCAGCTCCTGATGAGTGTCATCTGAGGCTGATCTCTGGCTTCCACACACTGACACACACATGATCATGTACACACACACACAGACACACACCAACACACACATGCTCATGTACACACATACACTGACACACACATGATCATATACATACACACACATGATCATACACACATACATACTGATGCACACATGATCATGTGCATGTGTGTGTGTGTGTGCGCACGTGCACACGCACACACACACACACACACACACACACACACACACACACACACACACACGCGCACATGCACACACCCTTAAATAAAAGATGATGTGACCCGCCAGAGCCCTTACCTTCACTGCCTCTCTCTGCTTTTGCTGCAGTCTCCTTTTTCTGTTTCGCAGCTAAGAGTTCCCGCTTCAGTTGCCTTGCTTCTTTTCTGAGCTCTTCACTGTAAAGCAAAGAAGATACGTCAGTTTATAATATACCGACAGGAAAACAGGGTTAGCAAAGACACAACTGTTTATTTGTAGGTATAAATCAAAGGAACATAATTAGTTTTCTGCTATGTACATGCATTTGTGGACAGGTTGCTCCTAAGTTGTCATTTTTCACAGTAACAGTCTAAGCACCTATAAATATTTTCCTTCTCAAATATACTAAACATCAAAAGTGGCAGTTTGAATGAGACATTCCCTATAGTCTCAGGCATTAGAATGATTGGTGTCTGGCTGGTGGTGCTCTTTGGCTCAGGAGACATAGGCTTGCTTGAGGAAGAATGTCACTGGATACAGGCTTTGAGAGTTCAGAATCGCGCCATTTCACGTTTGCCCTCTTGGTTTCCTGTTCGCTGTTTTGAGATGTGAGTTCCTGCAGCCATGTCTGCCTGCTGCTGCATGTCCCCAGTGTGACGCTGGTAGATTCTTAGATCCCTGGAGCCATAAGCCCCAAAGAAGCCCTTCTATACAGTGCCTTGGTCATGGTGTTCTCCCAGAGCAACAGAAAAGTAACTAATAGATTAAGTGAAAACTGGCCTGCTGTTTCCCTAATTTACTAGTGAGTTTAACACTAGTCTCAATGAGCAGGGCTCCTGTGTTAAAATAAAATGTAAAAGTACATGTTTTTGAAGATAGGGTCTTTGTAGGTATCCCAGAATGGCGCGCAACTGGCTACACAGCTCAGGATGGCTTTGAACACAAAATCCCCCACTTCCTCCTCCTGTGTATGGGCATGCACCACTATACCTGGCACACAAAAAGGATTCTGAGTAAGTACTGTTCATCAAATCTGGATATACATAATCCAGTTTGACTTCCAAACTTTTCAACTTACTGAAGTTGTACCAGTAACTACCATTTATTAAGCGGTTATTCCATGGTAGTTGTGCAGGTAAACTTGTAAGAATTCATTTGATTTTTAGCCCGACACAGTTTGCTCGTTAAGTTCTCGCAGCACTTGGGAGGCTGAAGCAGGCGGCACACTGAGAGTGTACGGCATGTCTAAGATGTATGGTGAGTCCCAGGGGGAGAGCCTGGGCTAACCAAGGGAGACACTGTTCTGATGTAACTCTTCCACTCCAATGTTTTTAAAATTCATCTAAAGCCGCAGTTGGCATAGAATTGCCTCTCTTGTGAAAACCTCTAGGCCAAAACATTCTGATAATTAACATGCTGTGTCATGTATTAAAAGCAAATGCTGATTTACAAGTCACTACCTAAGTAACTTGTTCCTGAAACACAGTTTTAGGGCAGAAGATTCAAATTTACTTCCTGACAATTATTAAGTATCCATGTCATGCTCCCTAGTTTGGCTATGGTTTATTACTCCCCCAGGGTCCATGGGGTGGATGTTTGTCCTCAGTCATGGTATAGGGAAGAAAAGAACCCTTAAGAGGTAGGAATGGGGGTTGTCCTTAGAGGGCATTGTGTTACTCCAATTTATCTTTGGCTTCCTGTTTCAAGACATCTCTCTCTCTCTCTCTCTCTCTCTCTCTCTCTCTCTCTCTCTCTCCCCCTCTCCCTCTCCCTCTCCCTCTCCCTGTCTCCCTCCGCCTCCCCCTCCTCCCTCCTCTCTGGTTTTTTGAGACAAGGTTTCCCTGTGTAGTTTGGTGCTGGTCCTGGATCTTGCTCTGAAGACCAGGCTGGCCTCGAACTCACAGAGATCTGCCTGGCTCTGCCTCCTGAGTGCTGGGATTAAAGGTGTGTGCCACTGTCGCCTGGCGACATACTCTGTCTTTTAATCATGCTTTCAACACTGATATTCACCAGGTAACACAGCTAAAGTGGGACTCTTGCCAAAGCTATTAGGCTGTTTGGCCTTTTAGCACTGAAAACCATAAACTGCAAAAAAAAATATATACAGATATGTATGTATATATACCTATATCTATCTGTGGGTCGGTCTATCTATCTATCTATCTATCTATCTATTATCTATCTATCTATCTATCTATCTATCTATCTATCTATCGATCTATCTATCTATCTATCTGTAATAACTAACATAAACCCTTAGAGTCAATTGTGCCCAGTAAAAGTCAGGTATACTATATCCTTAAAAGACAAGTATTCATTCTATTACAGGAAAACCAGACTGGATCAAGGATGCTCACAGAAGACTGGAAGCTCAAACAGATACCACACCCTGACCTCTCAAGTTATTCAAGACAACCTGAAGTCTAGATAGTTGTACACCGACCCTACTTTGCAGGTACATCCAACTGGCAGCCCCATGTGACAATGGCAGCTATAAATGCAGCCCAACACAAAGCCACTTAAAACATTAGGAGATTCCTGCAATTTATTTTTGTAATGTAATTTCACAGTTCTTGAGTATGAACTTTGCAGATGATCATGTTGCGTCACCATGAGAAAAGGATGGACACCTCTGTGTATAAAGCTTCCTGTTGGTCCTGAGTCCTCTCATAGTACTTATTAACACGAACGAGGTTTGTCAAACTGAAAGGCCTTAACACATGCATGCTTCAGTTCTTTCAACCTTCTACGCAAACGCCCAATTTGGTATCCACTCGCTTTCGAGATAATAAATTCTAAAACTACCCTCTCTGATCTAAGTTCACGACCTCTTAAATGTTTTCAGTCTCTCATCTCTACTGAGCTTTCAGTCACTCTTAAAATCATCAAAGCCACTTCCACTTCATGGTCTACCCATAGTAACCCCTTTGACATCATAGTAATTCTGGATACTATTGACAGTCATTGTACTACTGTCCTCATCAGAACTCTAATTTTCTTGAATCATCTGACCCGGTGGATAAGACATAACTGCTTGGAATAAACTGAATATGGTTCAAGTTCTCCCCTGTCCCTTCAGGGGCCTGTTCTAAGAGACAAACCTCTACAGAAAAGGGTAACCTTTGACATGAGATGCTGCCTGGGGATTTGCCATTATAATAATTGCCCCTGATAACTCCAGTATGCACTGAGGTTTGAGAGCCAATGTTTAGCATTCTACTATAGAAATTATCTTTCCTCCTTTACAGTCAAGCACTCTTACTAATCTTTTCATTCAGCAAACAAACAAACTCAAATTTCTCCACAGTCTGCTGGAATCAAGTGATTATTATCTTTACAAATGGACTCCATCCTGGAAAGAGCAGTTTATACAGTCTGCTTCACAATCTATTGCAATCTACCCCTCTTACAGTCTCCTGAAACTGTTTCTACACCAACCAAATTCAATGACCTATGTTCAGATCTCCTCTTTCCAGATGGTCTCACTGTCATTCAAAGATATTAACTACTTCCTTCCTGAAATTCTATCTGAGTTGGACTTTTCAGCATTCTGGAGTCAAGATTTCCCAATTCTCTTTGTCTTGGTTATTCCTTCTCTTAACTTGAAATTGTTAGAGTTATTCTCTAAATAGTCATATATCGCCTCTGTAGTGACATTTTAATCTCATATCAACTATTATTACTATACAGCTATTTTCAAATCTAGTGTGGATGCTCTGCCTTGAGTTTGGCCCTACCTTTCCAAGTATTACACATCTCCAAATAGAGTCAGAGAATGCTGCATGAAAGAAATATAAGATATAACATAAGCACTTAAAAGATTATAAAAATTTAAAAAGAAAATCTTTAATTATATTCAAGATATTTTTATTTCAACATGTAAAAAATATTAAATTATATCCAAAGTATTTTTACATATTTTGTACTAAGTTCACAATCTGGTATGTACTTTATTCTTAAGGAATATTGCAATTCTGCCTGGCTACATTCCAAGGACTCTGATCTAGATGGACAGCAGGTCAGATGTTTCAATAGACTCACTCACACACTCTCACATATGAAGCAGATGCCATCACTTCTTCGGACAAGTCTGTTTTTGCATGTACCTGATGGTGGAACCATTACCTATCTTGAGAGAAGACTTAAAACTTGTCTAGGACCGCTCTTTGTTTTCACTGGGTTAGCGTTAAAGTACATATTACACATACAACACTTTCTCTTGGCACTCTCCATCAGCGCAAACTTCAGGCTCTTAGATATACCTCAGATAACACAATCACTTCTTTCTTGAAGCTTGGGGACCCAATGCTAGAAGTCCCAGCATGAAGTATAACTGAACTGTGCAATCACTGCACAAGAACACTAACCTTGAATTAGAAACTGTAAATCCCAGTCTATGTTCTTTCTATGTTAGCACACTAACACCTACACACACTCTTCAAGGAGCTTCAACTGCAGAGGACAGAAACCCTGTCCACCAACAATGAAAATAGTACATGATAAAAATAACAAAGAAGCCAGGCGGTGGTGGCGCACGCCTTTAATCCCAGCACTTGGGAGGCAGAGCCAGGTGGATCTCCGTGAGTTCAAGGCCAGCCTGGTCTACAGAGTGAGATCCAAGACAGGCACCAAAACTACACAGAGAATCCCTGTCTCAAATTAAAATAAAATAATAAAGAAATCACTGAAGCATGTAGGAATTTAGCGAAAGAAGGATTACTGCAGGTTAAGTAAAAGATGACTTTGCAGGAGAGGCACGTGAACAGGACCCTAACAATAGTTAGGAACATGCCATGTGAAACCAGGATGAAGAGACACTCAAATAGTAGGCTTAAATCTAGAGAAAGCAGAGAGTAAAAGGGTATGGGAAGTTCTAAAATAAGAAAAGAAACAAAAAAGGGAAAAGGCTAACTGATTCAGCAGGTAAGGGTGCTTGTTCTACACACCTGACAACTGACTTCTGCCTGTGGAACACAGGAAAAAGCTCCATGTGAGCCAGGCAAGATGGTGGATATCTTTAATCTTAGCATTCAGGAGGCAGAGGCAAGTGGATCTTTCTGAGTTTGAGTTCCAGGGCAGCCTGCTTTACATAGTGAGTTTCTAGGTTAGCCTGGGCTACTCAAAGAGACCTTGTCTTACAACAAACATAAAAATCCTCTGTCGATTGGACTCCCAGAGATCCACCCAGGGCCTAGTCATGGATCTCTGCATCCAGATCCCTCAGTAGTTGGATGAGGTTTCTAGCACAACAATTAGGGTGTTTGGCCATCCCATCACCAGAGTAGGTCAGTTCGGGCTGTCTCTCGACCACTGCCGGCAGTCTGTTGTGTGGGTATCTTTGTGGATTTCTGTGGGCCTCTCTAGCACTTTGCTTCTTCCTGTTCTCATGTGGTCTTCATTTACCATGGTCTCCTATTCCTTGTTCTCCCTCTCTGTTGTTGATCCAGCTGGGATCTCCCGCTCCCCCAAGCTCTCTTTCCCTCGACCCTCGCCTTTCATTACCCCCACTCATGTCCAGGCTGTTCATGTAGATCTCATTCCATTTCTCTGTCATTGGGCGATCCCTGTGTCTTTCTTGGGGTCCTGTTTTCCGGGTAGCCTCCCTGGTGATGTGAGTAGCAGACAATTCATCCTTGTTTCATGCCTAGGCCCTGGGTGGATCTCTGGGAGTCCAATCAACGAGAATGAGGAGGGTTTATATGAGCGAGAATTGTTGAGACCAAGGTTGGATAAAGCACAGGGACAAATAGCCAAATGAATGGAAACACATGAACTATGAACCAATGGCTGAGGGGTCCACACTGGATCAGGCCCTCCGAATGGGTGAGACAGTTGATTGGCTTGATCTGTTTGGGAGGCATCCAGGCAGTGGGACCAGATCTTGTGCTCATTGCATGAGTTGGCTGTTTGAAACCTGGGGCCTATGCAGGATTGTTTGGCTTGGCCTGGGAGGAGGGGACTAGACCTACCTGGACTGAGTCTACCAGGTTGACCTCAGTCTGTGGGGAAGGCTTTGCCCTGGAGGAGATGGGAATGGGGGGGGGCGTTGGGGGGAAGGTGAGGGGGACGGGAGGGGGGAGAACAAGGGAATCCGTGACCGATATGTAGAACTGAATTGTATTGCAAAATAAATTAAAATAAATTTAAAAAAAAAAAAATCCTCTGTCCTATTTCTGATAAAGTCACCAGAACCTGGTGCCAGGCTCACTTTCTGGCCTCAGTTGAGAATTCTCAGCATGAGAAATGCAAGGAGAGAAGACCAAATCCATGACTGTCCGATTAAAGCAAGCTATAGGGGATGCACCTGGGACTGGCCGACTGGCTGTCTCGCCCCAAGTTGGGATTTGAGAGAGCAGTGCCTGCTGGCCTCCTGAGGTCCTTTCTATAGGAGAGATGAAGTGTTCACCGGGGGAGAGAGTCGACTGTTAGACACTGTTAGAAAACTCCAGTGAAAGGGAAGGAACAAGACTAAGGATGTACGTTGTGTGAACGGGGCTGCAAGTTTAGTGGAGGAAAACATGTTTGCAGCTTACATCGGATCTAAGAAACAAGAACTTATTCTTAACTACAAATAGAAACAATAACTTGCAAGGACTTACTAACACAGGACAAACAGGAACTACAAACAGAAACTTTAAGCTACACAGGACAAATACAACCTTACTCTTAACTGTCTTAACTGGAAACAGAACCCTTAACCGGTGAGGTCTATTTTCCTGTTTTGGTCTCCCGTTGACCTGCAAGGCAGATTGTTCCTGTTTGGGTCTCACACAGTTCCTGCCTTACCACACCCTTCCTTTTTCATCACAGCATCTTCCTGTCTGTCTAGCTTGAGCTTCGCTTTACATAGGTGCCAAACTCTACAACTCTAGTCACCTGAGCTTTCCAGAAAGCCCGATGAACTGTGAACTTCTGTCCATAAAGCCCACTCAACCATGCACCCACTTCTTTCTCCAGTGTTTAAGTCCTCTCACGGGCTAGCTTCACAACACATTTTCTAACACGAGCTAGCTTCACAACACATTTTCTATCTGTCCAGAAAGCCCACTGAACCATGCACCTACTTCTTTCTCCAGTGTTTAAGTCCTCTCACGAGCTAGCTTCACAACACATTTTCTACTTTATCTTCCTGTAGACTATACAGTTACTCTACATTTCAGTCAAAACATACTAGTCATCAGTATCTTGGCAAAATTGAAGCTTTGGCACACATACTCTTTGTTCATGCCATTTCTGGGACTTAAAATAGTGTTGTTTTACTATTGCTGTTTACTAAAATCTTCATTTCCAGGCTCCATGGAAAAATCGGCACTTAAGCTGTGGCTCTGTTCAGAACATACTATTTCAAGAAGGTTAGTACAAAAAAATTAAGGACTAATATGAAAAAATACACTACCATGTATTCAGAAGAAAATTGTGTCTATTATCAAAATATGTCACAACCAATTCATGAATGTTAAATTATAGCAGCAACTTAATGGATAACGATTTTTAAAAGAAATGATAAAATGATACTGAATATCATACTAAGATCTACTCTGCCACTGATTTTTTTTCTTTTAAAACTAATGTGAGGATTATGAAGGTAGCTCAATTAGAGTGCTAAGGATATATATGAAAAAGCAACTATGTTATATGCTAACTGTAAAATATTATTAAAATATAGTTTGAAGGAGATACCTTGAATGGGTAGATAATGCCCCTCCCAGAAGCCATAAGATATTAAGCAAAGATCTCAGTGCCAGCCGAGATACCTTTGTAGGAGTTGTTGCTTAGGGATATTCCAGAGGCCCCTAGAACAATGCAGGCGACTACCATTGCTCCTGGTTTTCCACCAGAACTAGATGAGAATATGCTACTGCTGAAGGCACCACACACTTTGTCTGGAGGACACAGACAAATCAACTGAAACTGGAATGGAAGCTCCCTTCCCACCAGCTAGCTTTCACAGTCCTGTGAGAGGCTTTGCAGGCTGCTAGGGGAAAAATAAATTCAATGGTTTTTGCCCAGCTATGAATACCAACCTGCCAGGCAAGGTGTGGTCACTGGTATAATAGTGGCATGACTCTTATGGGGTAATTAACTGCTCTCTGGTTGAATCTGAGGCCTGCTTGAACTCATATCTGGTATAGTAAACCTGGTTAAAAACTCATGGCTAAATTGGAGGTCTCCATTGGATCCGTCCCCTCAGAGATGAGTAAACTCCATGGAAGAGGGTGAGGAAAGACTGTGAGAGTCAGAGGGAATGGAGGACACCAAAAGAATGTGTCCCACTGAATCAACTAAGCAGGGCTCACATGGCTCAGAGACTGAACGCCTAGCAGGGGCCTGCATGGGTCTGCACCAGGTTCTCTGCATATATGTTACGGTGGTTAGTTTAGTGTTTTTGTGGGACTCCTAACAATGGGAGCAGGTATATCTCTAACTCTTTGCCTGCTCTTGAGACTCTTTTCCTCCTATTGGATTACCTTGTCCAGCCTTGGATAGGAGGGCTTTTGCCTTGTCTTACTGTGTGCTGTTTTGTCCTATTTGGCTGTTGTCTCTTGGAGGCCTGCTCTTTTCTGAAGAAGAAATGGACAGGAGTGGATCTGGGGGAGAACAGAGGTGGGGAGAAGCTAGGTGGAATGGAAGGAGGGGAAACTGTGGTTGGGATGTATTATATGAGAGAAGAATCTAGTTGTAATTAAAAAAAAAATGAAAGGGAAAAAAAAAAAGCTCATGGCTAGAAAGGCCATAGGCTTAAGGACAGTGGTTCTCAATCTGTGAGGGTTGTGACCTCTATAGCCCTTTCACAGGGTCACCTAAGACCACTGAATAACACAGATATTTACAGTGCAATTCATAACAGCAAAATTACAGTTATGAAGTAGCAACAAAAATAATTTTATCTTAGGGTCACCACAAAATGAAGAACTGTATTAAAGGGTCACAATATTAGGAAGGTTGAGAACCTACTACTGTTCATTTGCTAAATAGTCACATTGTACAACTCTCCATGAAATAGTTATATTTACACTCACATATTCATAGGTGAGTGCTGCTCTGAACTTGGGTCAGAATGGCTTCTATTTGTAGTAGGCAGTAATTAAGCAGAGATTCAGAACTGGTCAAGGTGCTGAGACTAAGCAACTGTTGAGTGTTCAGCCCTAATAAGGACATCTGTATATCACCCCAAGGGAAGACTGCAGAAGAGGAAGTGGAGGAATGTACAAGCCTTAGGATGGGAACGAGTGCTTTGAAATGCTGACTTCTGGATAAGACACGGTTGCTGCACCCAGGGTATGACAAAGTGGTGGTTAACGGCACAAAAGTGGCCATCAACAGTCATCATGGATAGAGGAGGGGCCCACGATATCCTAACCCCTCTGAAAAGGTGACAGTTGCTGAGTGGGGGAGTCATACTCTTCATTGGGTTAGCAACTGCTAAACTGCTCCTACCCATGCTTATGTAAGCAACCAACCATAATTAGATGCAATGGGACACAAACAGAAAGATAGGAAGTAGGAGGGGCCTGTTAGAAAGAAGAAGGGGTTCATTATGAGAAGGGAGAGGATAATGGGGAGATGTGTTAAAGTGCTTGTGTATGTGTGCAAGAAACTGAAAGAATAAACAAAAAATGTTTCAAAAGCAAAGCAAACCAAAGAAACTAATGTCAGGGATAGGGAGGTAATTTGGTTGGCACACTGCTTGTCTTGCAACCATGGTAACCTGAGTCTGATCCTCAGAAATGCAAGAGAGCCTGTGCATGGTGACATGTGCTTGGGCACTGGGGAAGCAGAGAGAGGCAAATCCTTGAGGCTCTCTGCCTAGCCAGCCTATGCTAACTGGCAAGCTCCAGCTTCAGTGAGAGATCCTGTCTAAAAACCAAGGTTGATGGTGCCTGAGGAAAACTCAGGAGACACTGACTTTGGTCCAACCTAATATCCATGTTAGCATTCTAAAATCTTAGACAAAACATTTGCATGTGGATAGGCAGGATTATTATCAGAGATCTAAGCTCAACATTATTGTATGGCCACAGAAAGCAATTAATCCTTTCCTTTAGTCTTATCATCACAAACACAGTCTGGGTAAAGATATACATTAATATCTCAGGGCTATATTATCAAAATTTTAAATGTAAATAGTTGTTATATGCAGGTCATTTTATTTAAAGTCTTTTGGCCTTAGGACATTAAAGCCCATTATGAATTAAATTATTTCTTCTCAGTTCTCACATCTAAGAAATACTGAGATGTCAAATAATTTAGTGTTCACCTTGGACACAGACAAGAGTAGAAACAATATGAGTCAAGACAGAGCTGCACACTGACTCACATACCCCAGTTCTTAATACATTTTCCTACTAAACTGAGAGCTGCCCACGAAAGGAAAAGTTTGATTAGACTTGCACATTTTTAACTAAAGACGAGTAAATAGCTACATAGGCAATTTTAAAATGATAGTATACAACAACAAGTTTACATTTTATCAGGATGTTTGCATCATATTATAGAAGTAGTTTTAAAAAATCCTGTCATTTTCTTTAACATGCAACTTTTGAATTTGAGACTGAGGAATTTACAATGGGAAAATTTTCACTCAGTTTTAATTTCCCCCTGCTACTTCTCTCATTTTCTTCAGGTACCATGAATTTTATATCTGTTCTTTTTTTCTTATGGAATGATAAATATTATCTTCAAACACTAAGCATCACTAACATTTACCTATAAAAAATGGTAAAACATTATCAAGCCCTAATTTTTTTGATATGCCCTTAAGAGAATTTTAGTAAACAAAAATGAAATACAAGTGTTTCTTATATAAGACAGTAAGTAAATTTGCTTTAAGACTCCATTAAGCAAGCTGAGGGCTAAACACAAGTCCACTACAGACTGCTGTCTCTCGGATTATGAAGTTAACTCTTGAGGTTAGCTTAAGCCTGCTATTTTTCAACATCTGATGAGTTCATAACACATGGAAATGGCTGATAGCCAAACAGTACAACCTTGATGACGTCCAGTTTGCTGCTTTAATCATACAATGTCAGTTTGTTCACAATAACTTGGCTATTGATGAAATCACTACAATAAAAGCCCTTCACAGGTATCAAGACTATAGTCGTATGGTATGGTTTTTACACTTACAGTTGTATCAGCTGGAGCAGAGATATAGACCTGACATGACTCATAAATACCATAATATGCTGTAGCTTATGCATAAACATAGAAAGCAAAATCAGGTACATCTCACTGTGATTCCAAACTTATTCTATGCTGCTGGCAGTAAGGCATCAGACAACCAAAGAGACGGACCAAGTGGTCTCAGCTTCCCAAGCATGAGAAGGGAAGAGTAGATTGAAAGAAAGACAAAGATTCATTGGAACTTAGCAAGCCTCACATGATGCTTGGCCTAGAAGACACACTCAACACAGAACTCTTCCTATGGTGACAACGGCTTTCATCTCCACACAGACATTACTATTATTAGTATTCAGAGTCTAGAACCAGCTACCAACAAAATGGGATTCCAGTCTAACCAACCAACCAACCAACCAACCAACCAAACAAACAAACAAACAAAACCCCTCAAATCTTTGCATATTTTTCATGGGCATATAGATTTTCAAAATCTTACTGATAAGTTTCTTTTGTTTGACTCACTACTTGAATGAAATATCATTTGTTACAAAAATAAAATACATAAATTTCAGAAAACTAAAAATCAGAAGACTCCCATATTCTAACTCTTGTCATTAAATGCTTGGAACCAAACTGCTTTTCTTTTATTATAATCCTATTAAAATAGAAATAAACAAGGCAAGGAAGAAATGTATATACACTTACACATTTTATGAGGCATCTAACAGAAAACATTAGGCCAAGTCATTCTGAAACACCATCAGAACGTAAGTTCAACCTGAGAGACTGTATTCTACATGTTCTCTATAATCTGCTACATACATACACAGAAATAGAAGGCTGCCCCTATCCTAAGTATATTACAATTCAGAAAGAAGACCAGAGGGAATTGAAATGCACCTGCATGTAGCCTTTATACTTATAATCTAACACCCTTGATATGAAAGATCACATTGGATTTCAAACAGAAACTAGACATCTGACAGAAAATGTCATCAGTCATTGGGAGAGTTCTTTCAAATTTTGGATTTCTTTCAAAACAAACTGAATAAGAGTAAATGCAACAGCAAGATATAACATGTCCAAAGTAATAGTAGATATCACTATTCTGTCTAAACAGTCCAATTTAAGAATCAAACATGTTATCTGACTTCATGAAGTAAATTTGCTATGGCGGAAAATTATCTTTAGTCATAATTTATTCCATGTCATGAGTTTCTAAATAGCTAAGCAATCTTGTCTATAATGACTTTATTAAATTTTCTGTAATCTTACCAGCCACTGGTTTTTCAGTTTTAAAGTGGGAACTTGACTTCGTATAGTCTATGAAAGCTGCAGCTGTAACTGCAAATAAGTAAATTCCAGTATTTCAGGTTTCTGTGAAGATCAAGGAGCCACTGCATAGGTCCCATCTTATGTGACAGAATAGGCAAATAAAGACTATGGAGATTCTATTTGCATGAAGACATGGAATGATTCAACTATAATTAGCATTGTATACCTGAACAGCAAATGACAGTGTATAGTTAGATACAGTTGTGCAGTGATTTGTAGGGCTAAACATTGTTGTGTTGAGCCTAAATTTCAACCTGTTGAAGTGCTGAGTGGGGGTTGGTAAACCAATAAATAAGTAATGATTTCAGTAAAGGGATGGAAATTTTCATATTGATCATTAGGACTTCTATAGTTAAGTATGATGGTCTGACATGTCATTAGTCGGCTTAAATTTCATGCAGAAAGTATGACATGTACTGTTTCTTTGTTATTATTTTTATTTTAGGTTTTGTGGGGTTTTCTTTAAAATCTCAACCAATTTATAGTGGATTAGAGTTAATTATTAGTGGAAGGATTGAGTGTGGGTTTATGTGGATGTACAAAGATCTTTTTTAAACCATGATTTTTTTAGCAGTGTCTAAAATCCCTTCTTCTCTTTCTTCTCCTTCCCTGTTGTGCAGGGATTTTTACTTGTGTATCTTTGACACATATTCCCCATATCTCATTTCTCTTATTTTTCTCTTCCCCTCCCTTCCTTCTCCTCCCCCCACTTTTTTTTTCTTTTTTTTTTTTTTTGAGACAGGGTTTCTCTGTGTAACCCTGGCTGTCCTGGAACTTGTTCTTTAGACCAGGTTGACCTTGAACTCACATCCATCTGCTTCTGCCTCCTGAGTGCTGGAACTAAAGGTGTGTGCCACCACTGCCTGGCTTCTCTTTCTTTCTTATCATCTTTTCTTCTTCTTCAATAAACTTCCATTCAAATACTTCTTTAGTGAAACTGAAATGATTACGTTCTTAAAAATGAAAGATATATTAAAACCAATGAATTTATCTTTACTTATAGGAAAAACTTATGATTGTTAATATGTTCAGGAATCTCTAAGGAAATGTTTCATATAGGCCTATCATGGAACCTTTTTATTGGCAGAGTTATAGTTGATATTTGGTTCCCTGTGTGAGTTTATGACGGACCACTCATAAGAATGTTTCTCCTGCTTCTATATATTAAAAAAAAAAAGCCCCTTTGTGGGTCTACCAGCTTCCCATTAACCAGAGCTAGAGTGGAGACTGGCTATGTGATGGTGGAGAGCACACCCCAGTTACAAGTTCCAAAAGAAGAAGAATGATCATCAGCAATAACTTCAATTTTTTCAAACTGTGAAAATGTTCATTAGTGCAAATAATGTTCTTAGATGTTTTCTAAAGCTTTTTATTTGAAAATCAAAAGCTAACGTATAGACTAATGTCTATACATTAGTGTTGACTGTGGAAGAACAAATTGCCAAGGGAAACAAAACTTAAAATAAGCGAACATCTTAGGAGTGGGATGCAATCTGACCAAAGTTGTTGCTTCAAAATTGTCATCAGTCAGATTCTTGCAGATAACATGGACATACAGAAGTACATTTCTGGTTGTACACATCCTAATCTGCTAGTGAGATTATTATGCACTATCAAAGCTAGAATAATTTTACATTATTATTCAGTCAGTATACTTTATGATGTTCCCATTCATTGACAGTGCAGTATGTATGTATTTTAGTGCCTTAAAGTATTTTAATGTGGTGTTTTGTTAATGGTTAAATTAACTGTTCTCTTAAGGATGAAAAGTTATTCATTGAAAGGACCTGTGAAACAATTTGCATGTGTTATAAGACAGTCATATGTGGAAAAAAAGAAAGAGACTGTGTTTATTGAAGAAAAAGGTGAACTCTAGGGAAATAAACTGAATGTAGATATAAGCTGGATATTCCTAGTAAGGAAAAGCTAATATAAAACAACTGATACTGTTTTATCTTGTGTATATTAAGGAGCTTCAAGGATAAACAGTGAAATCCTCAAGAAATCTGGGAGTGTAATCAAGTTACTCTGGGTAGAAAGACAGAGGGAGGTGGCTACAGACTTTGACATAGATGGTGCAAGAAAAAACAAAACAAGGTGAGCCAGTCCTGAGGGCATGAGAGCTGACCCTGCCACCCCCTCATAATCCCCCTATAGCAATCAGGAGAGATGGTCCTGAACCTTGCCCGGGAAAAACAGTAGAGCTGGCCCT